AGAGGAGAATGGAGGAGAAGGGATTGCGGTGTGACCATCCCCCCGGGGGGTGATTGCTCGCTTTCTGTCTCTATGTCTCTCTCTCTGTCTGGCGAGCGCACGTGCCCTATAGCGAAAACCTCTCAAAAAAAAAAAAAATAAGGAATAAAGGGAGGATGGCAGGTGGCATGGTGGTTAAGGGCGATGGACTCCCACATGGCTAACTGCAGGTCAAATCCTGGCCCTGGCAGCTTGCTTTCTCTCTCTGCCCTTCTTTGCTCAAATTAAAATAACAGAAAGGAACTCCTCATGTATAGAGAGACCAGAAGCTTGCCTACTTGGAAACAAGAAAAACGAACAATATCTTTCTTCTTTTATTTTTTTTTAGCTTTCTTCTTTTTATTTTAGGTTTTTGCCATAGGGTGTGAACGCTCACCAGAGAGAGAGAGACACACTGAGAGGGAAGGTGAGAAACCACCTCCCCCACGCTACAATCCTTTCTCCTCCATTCTCCTCCTGGGATTTTGGGAATGCAAGCACACATGTGTGGTGTGATTTTTCAAACCTCCAGGTCCCCTGCCAGGTCTGGGACTCAAACTGCAGTCAGCCAGGTGGGAGTCCAGCATCTTAATCACTATGCCACCTGCAGGACCCTGCAATTTCTTTCTATTCCTACCAATCGACTCACTCTACATCTAAAACATTCTCACATATTTGAAGAAAAGATGCAAAAAGAACTATAAATAGGTAATACAGATTTTACAGCTATCAATATATACCTTAGAGAACCATCATGGAATAAAAGCATGTACGTAAGTATGTGGTTGGTGACTTGAAAATTTCATTCCAAATAGCAAGAACTCTCACCTTAACCTTTAGTCAAATTCATGTTCTGAACCACAAACAGGAGTCCACTGAATTTATGAGCTTTACTTGAACAAGAAGAAAATATTTGAGTGTCTATCCAAAGCACCTTTCAAAACTCCCTCATAGTTATTCTTCAGTAGGTAAGAACACTGTGCTCAGAGGCCAAAGTTACAGGTCCAAAGTTAGCTTTGATTTGCTCCCTAAAGGTATGATCTCACTTCTTAACCTTTGCCACTTATTTCAAAATCTCTCACGTACTTGTGAAGGGGGCCCAGGCGACACTCATGCTGCATCAGAACAGATTTGTCTTACTAGAAAAGCAACTCAATGTACATGTTTTATCATTTCAAAAATCACGCTAGGCCAAATAATTTGAAATACATTAGAGGAGTTAAATATATAAAGAACTATTTCATATTTCTAGTCTAGTAACCAGGGTACCTAGACTCTGGACACATGTTTGGAATAGAGTCATTGGCGGGGCCAGCAAGTGGCATGGTGGAAGGTGTTGGACACTCCCACAAAGCCAACCATGGATAAAGTCCTGGAGTTGGTGGCTTGCTTTTTCATTGCCACTCCCCCCCATCAAATTAAAATGAATGAATACTAAAATTAAATAAATAAATATCTTTAAAAAAATGATTTCACTTTATTTATTTGTTTATTTATTTAAATTTGACCAGAGGGGGACAGAGTGAGAGAAAGAAAGAGAGGGAAAGTGAGAAAGCAAGCCACCAGGTCTGGGACTTGAACCACAGTCGGCTATGTGGGAGTTCGGCACCCTTAGCCACCATGCCATCTGCCAGCCCCAACAAATAATTCTTAAAAAAAAAAAAAAAAGAGTCAATGGCAAGGGAAAAAATTTCAATTTGACAAAGACTTCAGGCAGCCCCTTAGAAGTCACTGAACTGGGAGTCAAATTTCAATTGTTCAAGGAAACAGGAAGCAAGACTACAACTAGTTAAACTGCAAGGAAAACCAGAAAACGATTGTTACTGTAGCAGCTTCAACTTAGCTTAAATCTTTTAAATTAAATAGGGAGTATGGACCAGCAGATGGTGTAATAGTTGTGTTGCTGGACTCTCACACAGTCAACTGAGGTTTGAGTCCCTGACCCCAAACTCACACCAGGCTTGTGTGCATGCCCAATATCCCAAAGAATGAAGGAGAGGGGATTGCGGTGTCGGCCATTCCTCAGGGGGTGGGGTAGGTGATTTCTCACTTTCTGTCTGTCTGTCTCCCCTGCGAGGGCGCACACCCTATATCAAAATATTTCTCTTAAAAAAAAAACAAAAACAGGAAAATAGGGAGTAATAAGTACTTGGATTGTCTATTTTTTCCTGTTAAGAACTAATAATTTATGATTAAGGTCCTAATAAGGAACTTAAGTAAACTGGGGTGAAGAAACAAAACAAAATTCAAACACCTGAACAGTATACAAACTAGTTCATCAGCCACTAAACAGATGACATTTAGCTTTATGGAAACTAATTCTGTCCTTAATAAATATTACTCCTGGGACCAGCAGTTGGCGTAATGGCTATATCGCTGAACTCCCATGTAGTCCTGGACCTGGTGGCTTAAACTCATGTCGGGCGCATGTGTGTGCGTGCCTGAGATCCCGAGAGGAGAATGGAAGAGAAAGGATTGCAGCGTGGCCATCCCTCCTGGAGGGTGATTTCTCACTTTCTGTCTGTCTCTGTCTCTGTCTCTGTCTTTCTGGCAAGCACATACGCCCTATAGCAAAGACCTCAACAACAACAACAAAATAAATATTACTCCCTCTGAAGCATTGCCTGCCTTAATTCCTCCACTAAAAAAAAAAAAATACAATGAAAGGAACTATATCATTTATGTACCACATGGTAGCATATCGTGAGTCCCTTGATTTTTTTGGGCAAACAATTCTTTAGGTGTAAATGGACACTTAAATTTAAAAGACAGGTAATACACCTACCAAACACTGTCTCTTGACTGTTATTTTGACCACCCCCCCAAAAAAAATCATAAATTAAATTAATGCTGACACCTAGTGGCAAGAAAAAACATCTTTCTTTTATGTTACCTGAATTGTACCTTCTGACTCCAAACCAAAGAATATAAACCCAGATACTTCCAAATCCCTACTAAAGATTATTCATTTAATTATTTAACAATTATCCATTAACTTAAGAAAGTGAAAAGACAGTAAGCCACTGCCACTAGAAACCTGTATTTGCAGATGCAGAACTGAATCCAGAATCTTTTCCTGGTGGAGGGGGAGGGTGGTGGTGGTGGTGGTAGCAAAGGGATTCCTTACCAAAACCTGTGTTTTAAGTTAGAAATTTGTAACCTTTAAAGGCCAGAAGACATAATTTAAGAATGTAGCTAAACCTCACTTGAAAGGAATGTCATTTATTTATTTATATATTTATTTGGAGAGGTTGTGGCTATAAAGCGTGTGCGCTCACCAGAAAGACAGAGAGAGAGACAGAAAGAGAAATCACCCCCCAGGGTGGATGGCCCGGCCGCAATCCCTTCTCCTCCATTCTCCCCGTGGGATCTTGGGCACGCACCATGTACGTGCACACACATGCCCCGTGTGAGTTTAAGCCACCGGGTCTGGGATTCGAACTGCAATCGACTACATGGGAGTTCAGTGATATAGCCATTACGCTAACTGCTGGTCCCAGGAATGTCATTTATTAATAACTGTGGGATGTGTTTGATCTCTATTTCGTAAGATATGCTGGTTCCCCTGCCAAGATATATTTTCATTTTTAAAAAGTAAAACAACAAACAAACCCCCCCCCCCCCAGTTTTTCTCAACACTTATAAAACAAAACTGCGAACATCTCAAGCTTTACAAAGCCATTGTTTGGCTGAATGGTTCAATTCAATCAAATGTTATGCCCAATTTCCAGACACCATTGAATGCTCAGCATGAATTTTGACCAAACACCAGTCTTTGTAAAAATTTAAAAGAAAAATTCTATATGAAATTTTTTTTTGTGAAATTCTAGACTAAAATGTTTTGCAAAAATCAAGGACAATCAATTTTGAAATATCTATTTAGCTGAAGAAATGTTCCATCGTGCAGACTGCCATGGTCGAACTGCTGTGTTGCCTAGAACAAAATTGGTTATCAGTTGGAATTAATATTCATAAGCTTTCTTTAAGAAAATGAGTATTAGTTCCTTTAAAAATACAACTATAAGCAATTTTAAACTGGAGGTTTAAGCCCCAAATACCATTTATTGACTAATAAAGGGCAATCCACTGCACATTCAGAAATATGTCTTTGTCCTCTTAAAAACAATCCAGAGTACAGATTTAGCTTCTACATAAAATCGGTTTGCAATCACTTCAAAATGTCCACCTCCTTCGATTTCCTTAACACTTAAAATTCCCAGAAAGGAAGCAAAGTATCTCACTAAACTAAAACATTCATCAAACCTTCAAGTCAAACCTCTGGAGTAGAGTATAGTCAAAGGCAAATTCATTATTTAAAAAAAACTGTGGACTGAACTACTGCGATTTTTAAGGTACAAATAAACCTCTCCCTAAGCTGCCGGGTGGGCGTAAACGCATTGCAAGACAAGAACGCTGTCAAAGGCCAAGTTGCTTCACTAAGGATGAAGTGTCAAGGTGAGCCAAAGCTGGAACGGTCAGGTCCCAGGGCTCTATTTTAGTGGTCAACGAGGGCGGTGGGGTTAAGACCAGGAAAACACGATCGAATTCTTCAGAGCCTCTGCCGGGGTTTGGGGAAACTGACCAACCCTACTTCAACCTTCCTCGACTAGAAAACTTGGGTGGCTGCGGGAACAATACGTTATTCTTGTAAGACAAAACAAGCAGGGCCGGGATCACTTGCCTACTTGAGTTTTCTCCCGGGACCCGGACCCAGGACTGCAGGGCGGAATACAAAAGGCGGAGATAAGCCCCTGGGGGTGCACGCTCAGGCCGGGTGGGAGGTGGAAAGCCCAACTCTGCGACCTTTCCGCTCGCCGGCCCGCTTCCGGGTGGGCCGCAC